TGCAGCATTTGCTGAGTGTAGCTCAGCGCTTAGCCAGGGACACAGGCAGTGCTCAGGAGCAGGACTGTGGGCTCCTTCCCTTGTCTCTCTTGCTGTGATTTTCTCCCTTAGCTTTTTTGTTTTTGAGACAAGATCTTGCTGGCCTTGAACTTACAGTGATCCTCCTGCCTCATCCTGCTTGCCGCGTGCAGGGACTATTTCCCCCCACTATTTAGAACTGTGGTCATTGTGAACTTCCTGGTTTCTTCAGGATAGGGAGAGTTTGGTTTTCTACGGAGTTTTATGTGAATTTTCTGATTGGAGCTTTTCTTTAGGAGAAAACCTTACTAACAGAAATGTTAGTGCCTTTCTTTTTCAAGTCTAGACCCTTTTCAGTTTCTGGTGTCCTTTGTGTCTTCGGAGAGTTTCTGTAGAGCACATGAAGATATTACAATTGTTTTCAGTTAGAGGCTTTATCCAGTAGGAGCTGTTTCACCATTGGGAGTTTTTGGAGTATATTTAAAGTTTAAAAGTCAACCATTAAATGTTTTGTTTGTAGTATTTTACATGACAGAATAAAATAATATTAGAAATTGAAAAGTCGTCTGATAATACTGCATTGCAAAATTAGTTTTGTTATATTTATTTAATTATGTAGTACAGGGTCTTGTTACTCAGCTCCTGCTCTTAGTGATTCTCCTGTCTCAGTGTTGGGATTACAGACATGCACCACCATGCACGTGCGCCACCACATTTGGTTTTGGCAGCTGGCACAGTGTGCCTGGGGTTTTGGGGCCATCACAGGATGCGGTACAGAGGACTGAATCCAGGTCCTTGCACTTGCCAGGTAGGTACTTAGACCACTGAGCTATCTCCCTAGCCCTAGTTTTGTTTGTTTTTTTATTTTTTATTTTTTTATTTATTTTAGGGAAGGGTTTACAGGGTGTTCAGGGTCTCACTAGTAGATCAGACTCATAGTGATCCCCCTGTTTACAGCCTCCCAAGAGCTGAAATTACAGGCTTGTACCACCACGCCCAGTCTCAGTGGCCATCTCAGCGCATTCTGGGGTTGGGCTGGCATGGCAGGCTCAGGGATTGAACTCCCAGCCCTTGTGCCTCCTTGCAGGTGCTTTAATCTGCTGAGCTATTTGGTTGGCCCCAGTTTTGTTCTTTTTAATAATTATTTCATAATGGTAATAGTTTAACATTTCAGCATGAAATATATATATTTTTTTGGATTTTTTTTTTTTTTAATTTTAGTAAGGGTCTACAGGGTCTTTAGGGCCTATAGGGTCTCTACGTAGATCAGATTTGTAGTAATCCGCCTGTGTTCAGCTTCCCAAGAGCTGGGATTACAAGTGTGTGCGCCACTGTGCCCAGTCTCAGTTGTCTTCTCATCCCACCTTGGGGTTGGGGCCAGCACGGCATGGCACACCAGGGATCGAACCTCCGACCCCTGCACCTGCCTAAGCAGGCACTTTAGTCTGCCGGGCTATTTGGCTGCCCCCGATTGGAATTATAATTTTTATTACAAAACTTTTTTTTTGTCTCTAGCTCACGTGTTTTACATAGATGGAGACACATTTTCTAACTTACGATGAAGCTTCCAAATTACATTGACCAAAGGAATGAATGCCTTTTATTTAGCAGAAGGAAGCTTTGGTCACTCTAACAATTTATTGAGGTCACTGTGGTCCATGTGCTTTAGCTCTGTCCTCTCTCGAACTGTAAACAGAATTCTGTACTCAATTTTGTGTTAACAAAAATACCCCTGAGACAAACATTTTGTCAACTGTCTTGGTTACTTTTTTCTTGTTGTTGGGATAAAATACTCAACATCCAAAATTAAGGAAGGAAAGCTTTATTTAGCTCACAGTTTGTGGAGGTTCAGTGCGTACTCGGCTGGCTGGCAGGCAGAGTGGCCCATGGCAGAGGGCAGCAGTGCATGGCGGCAGAAGACAGCAAAGAGCAAAGGGAGAAGCAGCAGCTGGGGTGGCGGCAGAGCAGAGGGGCAGAGAGCAAGCCTTTCTCCCTCTCTCATGCTGCACCCGGGCTGTCTGCTCCAGGGCAGGTGTAGCACTCACACCCGTATCCCAGCATTGGGTCATGAAGTAATTGCAAGCTCTAGAAGTTGCTCCCTGACTGCATGAGGCTTTGCGGGGACAGCTCGACACAGACCATGACAGCAGCTTAACAGTGTTGTCCCCTGCTTAGCCATGGAGTTCACTGGACAACTTGGATCTGAGTGTTTCCTTCACTGAATTGGGAATTTTTCACCCATTATTTCTTCAGATAAATGTTCAGACCCATTTTTTTCTCCTTTCCTTTTGGTATTCCAGTTGATGTGCATACGAGTGCTGCCTTTTTTGCAGGAATCTAACAGGTTCTTGGTCTTTTATTTCTTGAGACCTGTATTTTGTCGCATCTCTTTGAATAATTCTAGTTTTATATTTTAGATTTTTGTTAGTATGTGCATGAATGATGATTACATTTATTGTGAGGTGTTTGTGTATGTATATAATACATCTTATTTTTGGTTTTCCTCTTTCGCTTTCCCTCTTCTTTGGATAATTTTAGTGGTCTGTTTTTCAGTTTTCTCTTTCTTGTTTTATCTTCATTTGGGTCTGAAATCCAACCATGAATATTTTTATTTCAGAAGTTGTAGTTTTTACTTCTGGAATTTCTGTTCAGTATTTTTAAAGTAATTCATATTTTTCTTATGAATATTTTATTCATTAAAAACATTTTATTGAGAGTTGGTATAATAGTTGTCTTGAAGTCCTTTTCTTAATTTTAATATCTTCTGTGTCCTGAAGCTGGACTCAATTGATTTGCTTTTTCTTCTGAGACTATATTCTATACTGTGATGACTTTTTTGTGTATCATGTAAGTTTAGATTATATCCTGGGCGTTATGAATATACATTGTGGAGACTCCAGATTCTGCTGTTGCTCTCTGGGGAGTTTTGCTTCCTTTGTTTTGGCAGCTAGTTTTCTTAACATGACTTTGAGCTGGAGAATTTGTTTCTTAAGCAGCAGCTGTGGCTGCTTCAGTTCATATTTATCTTTAGCTGAGGAGCGTTGAGTCTATTCTGTGTAAGCACAGATTAGAAAGGATGTGGGTTTCCTTCCTACTCCATGTCTTGTGGGGTTCTCGTTTTCTCTTTAGTATTCATATGGTGGACTAGAGCTAGAGTCACTTTTCTGCCTCTTTAAGCCAGAAAAACTGTTTTTTGGCTTTTCTGTGATTCTCTGACGGCCATTGTGCTTGATGCACAACCTATAGAACCTAGCCTCAAGTTGAAGCCGAAGTGACAAGGTTCCTTGGAGTGTTTCCTGAGCTCTGTGCTCAAAATGAGTGTGAGCTTCACATAGAGTCTGTCAGCTTTTATTTATTTTTCCTGTAGGTAGTTGCTCTTTCAGTGTGTCCAGCTTTCATACTTGTGTTGTTGCAAGAAATGAATTCATCCGGTAGGTTCTTCATAACTGAGTGGAAGGAATTTTATGCTTTAGTTTTAAAGTAATTCTAAAAATAGATTGAGTATGCTATTTCTATCCTACTCACTGTATATTTGTAATAAAAAGAGGTTGCAAGTAACTTATGATATAGATATAGCACTGAGGAGTGGTTAGGGTCACAAATATTTTATTGACTGTTAACTCTGGGTTGGATGCTGAGCAGAAACAGTGATATGAAGAGGAACGAGACATTACTTACTCTCAAGGTGCTTAAAATCTGGTGGAAACAGAAAGAAGAGTGGATACTGCTCTCTGACTTGCACATGCTAGGTGACATCTGTTTCTATATTTGTGTACAGATCATTTGGAAATTTTGTTTCTCTTGGGATGGATTTCAAAGAATTTGATGAAAGGACCTTTTCCGAAAGCAGGAACCGTACCTTGTTCACTCTTGTTCTTAGGTACCAGCTTGGTCTTTGCTCAGAATATGGATTAATTCAATGAATACTTTGTCATTTTTAATTCATATGATCCTTTGCTATATTTGTAAGTATTCTTCAGACTAGAAATGTACAGAGAAGAGAAAACTGGGAGAGTTCGCCTGAATATCATAAAACTTTTTCAATATTTGAGCAAGATTTTTGAAATACTGTGTTTTGTGCGCTTGAGGGTTGTTGGGTGAGATGAGAATAATGACAAGACTGGAAAGTGGAGATGCTTAGAGGAATATTCTTCCTGTGTGCAGCGTGCGTGGAGTTTACTGTACTGTGCTCGGAGCCGGCCACAAGAAGCCGTTGTGACGGACTTAGGTTTAAATGTGTTCAGTGTTGCAAGGCTTGGCGAGGTCAGTAATGAGAGATGTTCAGTAACCCAGGAAGGATGGCATAGGGCTGGGGATGCAGCTCAGTGGCATAGCCCGAAGTCTGGAGTTCCCTTCCGTGTACCAAAAAACCCAGAAAAACAGCGCCCCCCAACCAAAGCCCTCATGGGCAGAACACCTCAGATAATTAACTCGCACAAAAGGTTTATTTTGGTCGTGTTTTCAGGGGTTTTGGGCTGTGCTTGCTTGGCCTCAGTACCTTTGGGCTCATGGTGAGGCAGCACATCATGGCAGGAAGCTGCTCATCTGGTGGCAGCCGGGAAGCAGAGTGTGTGTGTGTGTGTGTGTGTGTGCGCGCGCGCGCACGTGCGCGCTGAGATCACCCTGTGGTCCCAATATCCTCCTCTTCCAGGGACGTGCCCAGTCACCTGAGCACTTCCAGCGAGGTGCCATTTCTTGTAGGTTCCACACCTTCCGTAGTGCTGTGGGTTGGGGACCAGGCCTTTTACACATTCGCCTGGGGGACATTCAGACCCAGACTGTAGCCATGTGTAAGTAAAAGCAGGTTTCTGACAGCGCATGGGTAGATACTCGCTAGAGAAATATTCAGAGTGGAGCCAGGCACTTACAAGTGAAGTGAAGACCCAATAGGAGGAGGTGAGAGGGTTTAAAGGAAGTAGAGGGGTCTGAGACTGTTGCGTAACAGTTACAAGGCTCCTCAGTAAGTGTCTTTTTCTAACCAGAACTTTTTAGAAAAATCAACTGAAAGAGAAACTCGTCAGGAGTATGCCCTGGCTATGATTCAGTGCAAGGTTCTGAAACAGTTGGAGAACTTGGAGCAGCAGAAGTACGACGACGAAGACATCAGTGAAGATATCAAGTTTCTTTTGGAAAAGCTCGGTGAGAGTGTCCAGGACCTTAGGTGTGTTATTAGTATTTAAAAATTCTCGCATGCTGTGTTGTTGAGGGCTTGAGCAGCATGCTCTTGGCAGGTTCTTGCTGTGCTGTCCGTGGTGGTCTTGGGCTTCTGGGCTCCAGCGCTCCTTCTGCCTCGCCTCTCAAGGAGCTAGGGTTATAGTTTCACATGCTGATTTGGACAGCTTTTAAAGAAAATCTGCATACGTTGCCAAATATTAATGAGAGATTTCCTTAAGATATGCCATGTCTTCTAGTGAGATATAATTTTTACATGGTAACAGTTGGTTCAGAGTATGTGCTTTCTCATTTGGCGCTATTCATGCCATTCTATTCAGTAGGGTGATGGGATGGGTGTAGCTGGTTTGTGTTCTTGTTGTCAGAGTCAGGGTGTGAGTGTTAACAGTACACTGGGTCAATTCTTACACTGTCTGACCCTGCATTAAAGTAAATTCTTTATTCGAACAGGATACT